TTCTGGTTCATAGGTTGACACTCAACCACCAAACCATGTCCGGGCTGCCTTCTTGTACCTAAATTCCAGGAAAATCCACACCAGCTACCTGTGCTAGTCAACACCTCCCTTTATTCATAAGTTTGCCTAATAACAAATACATGAAAAGAAAAGGGCCAAATGAACAGAACAATTGACATAAGATCAAAACATTCAAATTATAGACAAGATCTTTATTGAATTCACAATTCAACAAAGATTAATTTTTGAATTCATAATCTCACAGATATATAAGAGGATGTTGCATCCATAAAACAAGAACAGGCTGCTATGAAAAAGGAGCAATCAAAGAACATGAAAGAATTTGGAAAACTGAAAATAATTGTCTAAATTAAAAAAAATGTAATGGAGAGAGTTGGCAATAGAATAAACACAATTAAAGACTAACCGTTTTTTGTCAATCCTAACCCGAGGATATGTTTTTATTGATTCTTAATAAGAGAGGAAGGGGGAGACAGAGAGAGAAAAACATTGATAGATGGCTTCCATATACACAACTATGCATGGATCAAACCCATGACCTAGGTATGTACCCTGATTGGAATAGAACTTTGCAACCTTTCTGGTGCATGGGACAATGCTCCAACCAACTGGGCCACCCAGCCAGGGCAAGACTAACTTTTTTAATGTAAAAGGAAAGGTTAATAAACTTCCCCAAGGTACAGAGCAAAAAGATGACGCAGGTGAAATAAAGTTGAGAGATATGAATGAGAGTCCCAGAATTCCAAATCAATCTACAATAGTAGGCATTTCAGAAAGACTGTAGGAAAATAATAATTAAAAGAACAGAAGCAGAGCCCAGTGTGCTCAGTGGTTTTAGTGCCTGCCTGCACACCGAAGGGCAGTGGGTTCAAGCACATACCTGGGGGCCCTGATCCAGGCGCATGCAGGAGGCAACCAATTGATGTGTCTCTCTCACATGGATGTTTCTCTGCCTTTCTGTCTCTCAGTGTCTCTCTCCTCCCCTCTCTCCCTTCCACTCTCAAAAAATCAATGGAAAAAATATCCTCGGGTGAGGATTAAAAAAAGAACAGAAGCAGAAAGTGTTTCCTGAGCTGAAAGAAAAAAGAATACTTACATTGAAAAGGCTCACCAAATACTGAGCTGCAAAAATGAAACACACACACACACACACACACACACACACACACTCACACACTCACGCAAGAGAAAGATGAGAAAGAGAAGTGGATGACTTTGGTCTTGAAGTGTCTTTGGGTTACTAGGGTAGAAACTCCATGGGGCAATTAAATGTATGGAGTTGAAGCCCTGCGCAGTGGTCAGGGCTGGAGAGAGATTTGAGAATTACTGAAGGACCTATGGAGAGGGAGGAGAAGAGAAGAGCAAGGAAGGGAGACAAGAGGGCTGAGGAAGGAACCCAGGAGAGGGAAAAGGCAGCTGAACACTTGTCAGCTCCCAAGTCTTCTGAGGTGCCATCTTCCAGAGAACAAAAGTCTACCCTGCTTTTTATCCACTGCCAGCTGTGCTCCCATGGCTGGACTGGCCTCTCTCTCAGAACATAATCCACCTGCCTGGGGGATGGGAACGTGGCTGACAAGGGTGAAAATTGCTGGGAGGATTGAGGTGGTGGCACCGCTACTCAAATTAGTCCATTTCCAGGCAGAAATTAAATCTTTATTCTCACGGAAACAACCTGTCTCTCTACTGAAGCAGCACATTCCCAACCACTTACAGCAACACGGAGCATCTGATGGCAGAAGACAGCACACATAACGGGGAGGCAGAGCACAGGTCCCTCACGCCCTGGCTTGGTTTGCTTGGGGTGGGGGGTGAGGGTGGCAGCTGCAGGGAGGAGAAAGAAGAGAGAATAAGGGAGGAGAAAGAGAAGGGAGAACCTGGATAGAAAGAGCAGGGATGACATCAGTTTTCATGGCCCCCTGGCTAGTAGCAGAGAGACCTCGCTCCAGGCAGGAGGCCCACCAAGCCCCTGAGAAGACAATGCCCAAGGTTTAAGGAACTGACATGTTTCTTCTTCCCAAAGTGCAGGCTGCTGCTTCCACTTCTTCCTCCCTGGCGCGGTGTACTCTGGGGCTGCAAGCCCCTCTGGGATGTACAAATGAATTGGTCTTTGAATCTAAAGGTAATGAATGATGTGCAGGTATCTCCAGATAGTCTCTTATTATTTTGTGTGCGCCACCCAGGGGAAGGGGCCTGCATATATATATGTGTGTGTTATGCGTATTTCAATGTTTCCATCTCTCTCTTACACACACACACACACACACACACACACACACACACACACACACACTTCATTTCTTAATGACATTCATCTCTTCCTCTTCTTCAGACCTCTCTTGCCCCCAGCCCCAGATAGCCAAGATCACCCAATCAGGTGCCCGGGTTGACTCCCTTCTTCCCTTTGAAGTCTTGCAGAGAGAGGGGAACACAAGAAGCAGCCGGTGGTAGCTTTTCCCTGCTGGCAGAGAAGCCAGATGTGTCTGCCTGGTGATCAGCGATGCCCTGAACCCTGACGGCTCTGGGGCTGGCGTGTCCACCCAGACAGCTGGAGGAGGAGGGGTGGTGCATGGTTCTATCCCCAGCGGCAGGCCAGCTCCCCCACAGACCAGTCTTGCAGAAAATAAAGCCCCTCTCCAGGGTTGCCGCTGCTGCTGCCGCTGTCACTTTGTTATAAAGGTTAGTGACTGTCCATTAACTCTGAGGAGCTGATTCTTGCCAGGGCTGCACCGGCAGCTGGGAGCCAGAAAGTGCTGACACGGGGGGAGGGGGCGGTGGTGGGTAAGTAGGGGAGGTCACTGGCATGGCCTACTCAGCCCTGCCCAAGTGCCAATTAGCTGAGGTTTTTCTGCACATCAGCCAGGCCTGCCACAGTTGAGGGAAATTATTGTCAGAGAAGCTCATTTTGTTTTTATATTAAAAAGTGTTCTCTCTAGGGATGGATCTTTCCTGACTGTCCCCTCCTTCAGCCTTCTTAAGGGGGCCGGGGGATCCCAATCAGGCAGGATCCCTGGGAGGAGATGGCCAAGGGCAGGGTCCCTGACCATTGGCTACTCACAAAGGATGTTAGCCGGGGAGTGACTTCCTAGCCTTTTGGCCTGGAGGCAGCGGCCCTCCTAGCTCAGCAACTCTGGCTTTCCCAGGGAAATAAGGAAGAATAGGAGATCTTAACAAGCACTAAAACTATAAATATCTTTTCCTAAGTTCTTATTTCTTCATCCCAGTGCATTCATAAAATCCAGTTCTTCATTGAAAGGACATTAACGTACTCTTCAGATCAGGTTTGTGAAGCTGGTATCCTGTGTTCAAGGAGAACTTAGGGATTTGTGGGCTTGGAATACCCCTCAGACTGCCCACCTCCCCGAACATTAGACCTCATAGTCTTAAAACTCATCGAGTTCAACCTTCTCTTACTGAAGTGAAAACTAAAGCTTACAGAAGGGAAGGGTCAGCCTGAGACAGTCACTGGCAAATCTGGGATCAGAACACAGGGCTCCTGACTTGCAGTCAAGTGCTTGTCTTCTGAGACATGTTAACACTTTGCTCATGCATTTTCCATGCAATTACTGAGTCCTCACCATTGTTGGGGTGCTATGGGGGAGGTGGGGTGTTGAAGGAAGCAAAGAGATGAAAACAACATAATCCTTGCCTTCAAGGAGCTGTTTCCCTAGATCTGTGATTTTTTTTTTTTGGGGGGGGGGGAAATAAACACTGTGAGTCAGACTCTCCCCCTATATCATCTTCTATAAGTGATGATGGAAGAGTAGACAAGGAGGGAACCCTTTTACCTTCTCAAGTTTTATAAGTTGGGTTTCACTGACTCTGGAACCTCAGGGAGGTCAAGGATGAAGGGAGCCATGGCCAGGCTGGGAGCAAAGGGGTGACCGTGCACAGGCCACTGACAGCAGGTCTGGCTGGTGGGTAGGAACAGGGACCACAGCTCACCCTAAGATGGCAACGTACAGTCGACAAGCCTTCCATCAGGTACATTGTTTCATTGAGTCTCAAGGCAGTTCTCTGAGGGGAGCAGAGCGGCGGTGTTATCCCTACTTTAGGGATGAGGAAGCTGAGGTTCAGAGAGCTCAGATAATAAGCTGCCAGCGTCCAGCCAGGAATGCTTAGCCCAGGGCTCCTTCTACCACTGTGGGTGGGGCAGTGGTGCTGGGATAAGAAGATGGGGATAAAGCAGTGGCCAGCCACAGGGACAGGCTGGTCTTCCTCTGCGCAGCTTTATTTTGACTGCTACATTCTGGCACGCAGAGAACTCTGCTCTGAAGACCTGGAAGCACTTTGCAGGCCCGAATGATCTCATTCAGCTCACTCTTGCCAAAAACAAGAAGGACTTCAAACAGAGATTCTGTCTAGGGTCACCAGCATTCAGCTACGTAATAGACAATAGGACGCAGGACCTCCCACTCTTGGCCCTCATGCACCAAGCCGTGGGATGCAAAACCAGTTTCTTTCCATGAGAGTCAAGAGGGCCACAGGATAAAATTAAGGTATCTTCTGGTGCCTCCTTCCTTCCATGGAGAAATGGGTTAATAGGTTCCGAGAGGCCTGGCCCATCCCTTGCCCCCAAGGGTCATTTCCAGGGCAAAGACATCTTGAGGCAGTGCCCTAATGAGCAGGGTTGGGGGAGGAGAGGGAAGCTAGTGAAGCTGGTTCAGATTTCCCTAGTGTCGCAGAGCCCTGGTGGGGACCGAGACACCAGGAGTCTGGAGACTCCTGAGCATTCCTAGTGGGGCAGGGTGTCTCAGAGTTGCTTGAGGTTGGGGTCAAGGCCTGGTGATGTGGGGTCAGGGTACCCAGGTGCCTGCCTGAGCCCCAGTCCCTCAGGCCCTCTCCCCCTGGAGGGTGAGGGGAAGGCATGGACTTAGTGTGGTCTCTGGCAGAGCCCGCGTCCCTGAGAAGGGCCCCAGCTCAATCCTGGTTCAGCGCCCAGCTCCGAGCTCCCGATAATGCGCCCCCAGACGGCCTCTTACCTGTCCTGCCGAGGACGCCGGTCCCGCCTCCTTCGCGGGGCTCGGGGCCCCGGCATGGGCTGGTGAGCGACAGCGCTCTCGCCTCGTGGCTGGCTGCGGTGGAACTCCCAGGAGGGCACCTCTGCTCCGGAGCCCCCGGGCCGCTGCCACGGCCGCCGCTTCAGCACCACGGACAGCTCCCGCCTTCTGCCCGCCGCCGCCCGCCCCGCCCCGCGCGGTCCCGGGAGCCCCGCATCCCGGCCCGGCCCGGCCGCCGCCGCGCAGCCCTCCGCCCGGCCCGAGGCGGCTCCGCGCGGACTTGGGAGAACAGCCAGGAGGGTCCCCTCTCTCCGCCGCCTCCCGCCGCCGCCGCCGCCGCCGCCTCCCTCTCGCCTCCGTGCTTCGTGTTCCCTTCCACGCTCCCAAACCAGCCCACCAGGGCGCTCCGGACCCAGCTCCGGGGCGGGGCGGGGCGGGGCGGAGCGGGAAGCCCGAGGAGCCCGGAGGAGGCGGCGGAGCAAGGGGCGAAGAGGCAGCCACGGGCAGGCGGGCGGGTGTCTCTGGCTTCTGGAGCCGAGTGCTCTCTCCCAGCCCTTCTGCCCACCCTGCTCTCGTGCTCCCGCAGAAGCGATGTGCGGTCCTCCCGCTTCTTGAAGCATTTTTGGAGCTCCTAGGCGCCCAAGCCCTGAGATTTAATAATATGAAGATGCCCTAAAGAGAAAAGCAAGCAAATAAAAACCATTTATCGAGCGCCTACTATTTATTAGACACCAAGCAGGATTTCATGTGTTTAAGCAATATAATTTCATTTAATTTTTAAACAACTCTAAGAGGCAATACAACCCTCATCCCCCCAGCCCCAACCCCCATTTTACTCATAAAGACGCTGGGCTCATAGATGAAATCTCTTCACGCGGGGAGAACAATACTGGGCTGGGAAATGCATGGGCTTTAAAGACCATGGACCTCAATTTTGCTCCCTGGCCTCCCACTTACTAACTGTATAATCTTGAGCAAATGACTTAACCTCTCAAAGTCTCTGGTTTTTTCATTAGCAAAACGGGGGAGCTGTGGCCACCTCATAGGAGTCACATGAGGACAAAATGGGATGACGTGTGTGACTCATTGGCTCCAGCCAGGCCCTCAGTGGGGGAGCATCCCCCTCAGTTCTCCCAGAGAGGATCTGACCCCGGAGCCCAGGGCTTCCGGCTGCCCTGTCTCCCCCACTGGGCTTCTCTTTATCACCCCCTCACTTCAGTTCTCTTTGTGTAGCTTGAGGACACCCTCATCTTGAGGGTCATGAATGGATGAGGCTCTTTTTCAAGCTCTCCATAGGTCTTGAGTCTCACCACAGTACCAGGAGGTTGGGAGGGGAGAGCATTCTTGTTTTCTGAAGATAAACAGGGGCCAAAAAGTAAACTCTGGAGCCTGAAGCAGGTGGAGCCGGTGACAGGGCTGGAAGGAGGTCCTGGGGCAGTGGTGAGGCCCCCCACCTCCCTCTCCCATCCAAGGATGCCATAGCACACAGAATGGTTGGCTCCCAGACCCCTCACTCCCACATAACACAGGGCCTCTGGAGCAGTTCCATTTAGCTCCCAACTGGCTCCGTCTGAGGCAGAAGCCCTACCCACCCCCGCCTTCCTGGTCATGGAGCTTGGGTCTCCTCCTCTTCAGGCTGGTCAGAAAGCTCCCTCAGCCTTGCAGTCTGACTCGGGGCTGGTATTGGTGTTTAACCTTTTGGATATTAAATATATTCTTGCTTTTATTGCCCCTGCCCCAGTGAAAGGGAGGCCCCAAGGTTAGGAAGGCTCTTGAACCACTCATCTGAGGCCTATTCAGCATCTGTACACACACACACACACACACACACACACACACACATACGGGATACTGGCCCCATAAGTCTACATGCCTTCTTGCACCTTTGGCCCCCTCACAAGGGCTCATGGCCCCCCTCTTTGGCCTTGGTCTCCTTCTGCCTCTTTTCTCTGTGTCTTGGACTTGCTCCATGTCTGGGCTGCATACCGAATTGCTAATCAAAAGGATAATAAAAAAGCCAGTGAAGCAAAGCGGCACATAAATTCCAAATACTAATGTTGATAATTATATGCTGTTGCCTGGAGGGGAAACTTCAAGAGAGGCCATTGGTATTGTGTCAAGGGCCCTGGCGTGGGCTCCAGGAGACCCGAGTTCTGGTCTGGTCTTTGCCATTAATTGTATCTGCGAATTCAGGCAGTTCCTAATCTCCCTGGGCCTTGGCTTCCTTCAGTTTCCAAGCCGCCTCAGCAGCTTTGAAGAAACTGTAGAGCAATCAGCACTAAGAGTTTCCTTTGAGAGAATTACCTCTTATCCCTCACAAGATCTTGGGAGTGGCTCAAAAACTGAAGAATCTATAACTTTACAAAAGATTTCATTCCATTTTACACTCCCTTCCTTTCTCATCAAGCCCTCCCAGCTTTGTAAGGAAGGTCAGATCACTCCTGGACTCTAGAGAAGACAAAGTATAAGCCATCGTCAGGGGCCTTAAAGAAGCTGCCGCGAAGGGTTGGGGAGTAGAAAGACATGTTAACCAGTAATTCCAGCAGTGAGATCAATGCTATTATCCGGGTATGTGAAAAGTGCACCTAGAAGGAAACAATTAGCTCTGCCTGAGAAGTCCCTGAAGGCGTCCTGGAGGGGGTGACATTTGGGCTGAGTTTTTCTAAAGGATGAGATATTCACCAGGAAGATCAGGAGAGGAGGAAATTCTGGGTAGAAAGGCTGGAGTGAAAAGGCAAAGCTGGAAGACTGGTGAGAAAGCTACAGTAGTGTCCAATAAAGAGATGGTGAGAACAAGGCAAAGTCAGTAGAATGGAGAACAGGAAGCAAGCTTGAGACACTTCTGGGGGAGAACAGAGAGGAGAGATTGGTTGTAGGCATCTAGAGTAGGGATGTCGAACTCAATCAGAGAAGGGGCCAAAATCTAAAATCCAGCCTAAATCAAGGGCCGAATGGTTTACTGAACAGTCATAAACTGTCATTGTGATGGAAACGCAGCGGAGTGCAGTGATGACAGCGCGGTGCGGGCCACATTGCAAGGCCTGGTGGGACGGATTTGGCCCGCGGGCCTTGTGTTTGACACATGTGATCTAGAGCAATGTTGGGTCTGGCCCGTGTGACTCAGTGGTTGAGCATTGACCTATGAACCAGGCAGTCATGGTTTGATTCCTGGTCAGGGCACATGCCCAGTTTGTAGGCTCAATTCCCAATAAGGAGTATGTGGGAGGCAGCCAATCAATGATTCTCTCTCATCTTTGATATCTCTCTCTCTCTCTCTCTCTCTCTCTCTCTCTCTCTCTCTCTCCCTCCCTCCCTCTCTGGGAATCAATAAAAAAAATATTTTTTAAAAAGAGTAATGCTGGGGCCTCCTGTTTCTGGGAAGCTGATGCTACCTACAAGAATGAGGAGAACAAATTCTGCTTACCCTGTAATATTGTTGAGTGCTATAAACCTCTTAGTTTCTAGTTTTTTATGCTGTCTGTTTCAATTTTATTCTACCTTTAGTTCTTAGGGATTTTTCTTAGGCCCCCCAAACCTCCCATTTATTTTGAATGTCTTAGTGGAAAAGGGAAAGACTCATGCTTGGGCCAGGAGAGTTTAGTGGGGGGCAGAGCAGTCCTGGAAGGCTTCCTGGAGGAGATAGCAGGTCCCCTAGATGGGATCAGAGCAAGGTGCACAGAAAAGGGACAGAGTAAGCTCTGGGTGAAAACCTTGAAGAAGATGCCTTTCTGTCCTGTCCTGCTCCCTCTCTGATATTCTCAAGGAGAATCCTATGGACTCTATTTTTGTTGGAGTCTGTTCTCGTTGCTAATTTCCACCTAGGGACTTCCCTTCATAAGCTCTTTCATGCACAGACTTTTAGCTCTTTCTTCAATGGGTTGATTTGCTCATAGCTTTCCCAAGGACGTGTACATCAGCACCAAGTATGGGGAGCTCTGCTTCACCACCTGCACCAACAGGCCACACATTGGAAGTGATGCTCCCCATCTGAGGGGAGGTGAGCCCCACCTCCAGCCCAGTGCGTTCTGAACTTCCAAGTCAAGCTCATGGTCAAGGCCACATGGATTTCTGGGTATAAGCAGGTAGTGGGGGCCAGTTCTTGATTCTCATAAACATCTATCATATCCACATTACAGGTGAGGGAAATGTGTCCCTGAGATGGTAAGTACCTTCCAACGTGGGAAAATAATCAGAGAGCAGCACTCAGTCAAAGGAAAGAGGCGTGAAATTGATGCAGGATCCTGCCTTTTCCCTGTCCTTGAAGCTTCTGCCAGCCAGTGTGTGTGTGTGTATGTGTGTGTGTGTGTGTGTGTGTGTGTGTGTGTGTGTGTAGGGTAGTGTGTGCTTTGTCCCAGAGGTGACTTTCTTGGTGAAGATTTTTCTCCCTCTATGTGTAGAAAAACACTTCCCACTGATAACCACTGATCAAGCACTTAACATATTCAGGGAACAGCGTAGGTTCTGAGGGTACACAGAGTTAAAAGATATGGTCCTGGTCATCTGACACAGCATTCTTTTAGCTGTGGAGCAGGCCACAGATATAAAGAGGCGGCAAGTCTGAGTTCTTTCACAATGCCTGCCTTCCCATGTGTTGTTCTGTTTCCTTGAAATCCCCCAGCACACTCACCCACATGTCCCTAAAATCTCAGCTCAGGGATTCACTCCACAGCCTGGGCTGGACTCCCCTCCTCTAGCTTCCTGTAATATTCCACACTGCCTATCACAGGAATCAACACACTGTACTTTTAAATCTTACTTGCCTCTCTCTCACTTGACTCTGAGCTTCACGGAGAAGGACAGGGCTGTATTGTTCATCTTTAGTACCTAGCTGTTTCTGGCATAAGCAGACGCTTAACAAACATCTGTTAAAACACAACAAAAACCATTCCCCTTGTACTGCCTCCAGCATATAAGCACTAAGGTCCCTTGAAGCTCTCACAGACTATGACTTTATGCTTGCCAGTGGAAGCATTGTTTCATTGGGGCTGGATCTGTAGGTTTATTGGTGAAGGAAACCACCTCACTGCTGCCCCCCTTTTCTCCCTGTGGCTTACTTCATCTCCCTTTTATTAGAGTGACCAGGGCTGGCAGGAGTCTAACAAGGTCTCTGCCTAGTTACCTGATTGCTGGTGTGGACGAAAGGAGATACATGCTAACCTGACAAGCTCAGGGGAGGCCTGCATGGCAGACTTGCAAACCCAGAGACCTAAGAAAACCACAAAAGATGGTCTGAAAATTAAATATTTAACTACAAACAGGTTATAGTGGGTAGTCACGTCCTAGGCCAATATTTTCCCTGACAAGATCAACTTAGATCTTTACTGAGCCCGTTTGCCTTTTTGCCTCTAAGATAACATATCTGTGAGGTGTCTGGGTAACTTGTAACTTCCTTTTTTTCTGGAGCCCCTGGGACACAACCAGATGTGGTGGGCACCAGGACAGATACCACAAATTCCTTCATTATCATGTTAATTGTTCCTGCACTCACCTAAGTATGTGTCCATCATTTTACTTTTTATACAATCCCAGGTGTTTCCCACTGCTTTGCTTTATCCCACCTCCTTACTCCATCACCAATGAATCTCATGTAACCCACCTATGTCCCTCTTTTGATTGCAAT